CCCCCCGCCTTTGCCCAGTGACGGCAAACGGGACACGTATCGTTGTGCGCGCGCCGCGCGTGCGCCACTCATGCGGCCTTGAGTGAGGCTCTTTGTGCAGCAAAAACTGCATCGCCCGAATGCGACTCATGGATGGAGAAATGTGCAAGGCAACTGTTGAAAATTTAATAAAGAGATGGAATTGTCGGGAGGAGACTAGGAAAGACATGACTTGAGCATTTTTGCGGGGCATTTGTGGTATATTTTGGGGAAATTTTCATTACTTTGGTGTTCTAGGGAAATTTCAAGATATTTTTCTCACTGAAAATTCAGAATTGTATGAAAAAATCTATGGAAACTGTAAATTTCAGTTCAATTATTTTAGAAGTAAAATTCAAGTAAATAAATAAATTTAGTACTGAATATTCATGTTTTGATTAAAAAATTGTCATGAATTTATTTGTATTCATTATTCCCAAAGGAAAGTCTTGTTTTTTAACAATTATTTTTTAATGATTAAAAAATATCAAGACAAATAACGAATTCTTCATAACTAATGGCAAATAAAAATAAAATTTTTGTAAAGAATCTCACTGAAAAAAAAATGACCAAAGATTTTTCAAACGGTTTTCCTCTGTTTGAATGCAACAAAAAAATGCAAATAAACGGCAATATTTATGGTATTGTATAGTTGACTCATACGTGCTCTCAACGGCTTCAAGGGTGTGTACGTAATGCAAGTGCAAAGTGAGCACGTAAACTCCCTGCATGCGGGCCCACGTGTTCCATAAAATGCGAAAAACGAGACATTGAAACCAAGAGTAGTTCAAGAAAACCAAGTAAAAAGTATTCCAAACTTCTGCAATCGATTTCCAACGGGCAACACACGTTTTCCCCATTTTTTTTATATTACCCTCGTAATAAAGTGAAAGAAGACAATGTGGAAAATGTCAAGGATGCTGTCACACGAGCGAGGTGACGTGAAACAATGAGCTGGAAGGCAATTGACGTTTGTCACGCTCGGTCATCAAAATTATTGTAATAGTTTGTAATAATCGTAAAAAATTTATCTAAAGGCCAAGATTATTATCATTCAGAAAAATTGAAGACAAGAGATTCATGAATAAACTGAATTAATCATTGATTAAGAAACGAAAGAATCGAGAAAAAGAAACTCTTCTCAATATTTATTATTAATGATAAAAATAATGAATACAAAAATGAGGGACCGAACTATTGAAAAATTAATTGAATCAGAGTTTAAAAAATTGAAAAATATAAGTGAAATATGAAAAAAACGTTTCTATTTCATTTTAATATTTAATATTATCATGTTGTTATCATTAATGATGTCATAATCATTATTCTCACAAAACTGTTCTCATGACGAGAATGAAGAACAAAAACAAAGCAATAAATTTATGAAATGGTTATTCAGACGATGAAAAAAAAGAAAGTGAAGACAGAATGGAAAAAACATTTTTATTTCCTCAGAGTCTGTAACAAAAACAAAAATGAAACGAATAAATTTTCTTCGAATGCATGACAACTCGCCAAAACCACAGAATATCCAAAGGTCGCAAACACACGGCGGCGGTGGCTTTTTCATTCATAAAAAGTTAACTCAAGCGTTCATGAATAAAATCAATTAATCATTAATTAAGAAATGGAAAGATCAAGAAGAAGAAACTCTCCTCAATATTTAATATTAATTTAAAAAATCTGAATGAAAAAAAAAGGAACAAAATTATTGAACAACGAAAAAATTAAAGCGAAATATGAAAAAAAGCTTTTATTTCGTTTAAATATTTAATATTATTATTTTTTTTATTATCAATGACGAACAAAAGTAAAGCGATAAATTGGCAAAATGATAATTCATAAGATGAGAGAGAAATGAAATTAGGGAAGGGAGAATGGAAAAAAAATTTTCATTTCCTCAGAGTCCGTAAAAATTAAACGAATGAATTTCCCTCGAGTGCATGACAACTCCCCAAAATCGCCAAGAATGAATACAGACTAGTTAATTTGCAAGTACCACCCCACAATCCACTTTGAAAACGAGGAGGGCTCTTGTGTGCCAACGGGGGCTCGTTGTCTTACCGCGTCTAGACTCGATAAACCAAGATATACACAAGTGCACCATATGCAACGGCTTTACGAGTGCATAAAACTCACTCTCTCGCTCGTCTATACTCTGCCCTCTTTCCCCTGTTTTTTTTTTTTTCATACTTCTTCCGTGTTCCGTCCGGATGAGTATTTTTCTGGGGAGTCGGGTTATCACTCCGGATTATATGTCACTCGATCACGGAAAATATTCAGTGACACGTGAATATGTACACGGGCACTCGTAAATTTCTTATCGTCAGACGTGCATTCTTGGATCATCGCTGTGCATATTTGTGTTTTGCGTCGTAAAATGGGGTGGAAAGGTATCCGGGATGTTTTGAGAATTTTTTTATTCCGGGAGAGGTTAATCCATTGAGATATTTTCAGTTAGCATATTTATTTATTAAAGTGGGTGAAGCAAAATTGAGAAATTTTAGGCATTAAAAATTCGCTTCAAATGTTTTTTCATAAATTAATGTCAAATTATGGTCTAAATGAGTGAGTTTACGACAAAATTTATATAAACATGTTTTGTAGGAAATTTCATGAGCTGTAAAAAAGGTCCATAGGATTTGTTTCTTAAAACCACTCGTTTTCGAAATAAACGCAATATTTTGAAGCGCCGAAATTGCGAAACTTATTATTATTTTTTTTTTGGGGAGATTAAGCAATAAATTGTTGATATTTTCAATTGTTAACTTCATTCATTGAATTTCCCGGAAGAGAAGTGCAAAATTAATTCGTCAAAATTTCGTTTTTTGATGGCTTTTTCATAAATAATCATGAAATGATCCCCTAAATGAGGGAAATTAGCGTAAAATATGTTCAGCCATTTTTTATTTAACATTTCGTGAGCTATGACAAAGGATTGAAAGCATTTTTTCTTGAGACCCGTCGGTTTTCTGATAAACTCAGTATTTTGAAACGTTGAAATTGCGAACTCTATTTTTTGTTCATTGTTGGGGAGAATATGCAATAAATTATTGATATTTTCAGTCATTAACTTCATGGATTAAATTGCCTGGAAAAAAATGAAAAACTAATCCATCAAAAAATTCGATTCACGTCTTTTCCCTCAATAATCATGAAATTAACTCCTAAATAAGTGAAATTAACGTAGAATATGTTCAGCCATTTTTTGCTGGAAATTCCATGAGCTATAAAAAACTCTGTACGCATTTTTTCTTAAAACCATTCGTTTTCAAGATTCACACAATCTTTTAAAACGTTAAAATTGCAAAACTTATTTATTTATTTATTTTTGTGCAAATTAAGCTCTAAATTATCAATATTTTCCATAATCAAATTCGTCAATTGACTCACATGAAAAAAAAACTGATCAACAATTCCATTCTCCACGTCTTCTTCATAAATAAACATCAATTAATCTCTCAAACGAGTGGTTCTACCGTATGATATGTTCAGCCATTTTCTTCTGAAACAATTTTAAAAAACTGAATAAGAGGAATCGTTATCGAGTCGATTAATTAATCTTTGGTTTCCTCAATGTTTCAGACCGTCTGCCGCGACGGCCAACGGACGTCCCAGGAACCCGTGACCACCCGGTGATCCTAATCGACTCGGATCTTTCCCGTCTCCCGCTCCCCGATCTCGTACTCTCGGCAGTGGAGCAATTGCCACCGCCTGAGCCCCAGGTGACAGTCTCAGCGCCCAGCAGTCCCACCCGGGACGCTGCATTCCAGTTCCCCGAGTGCAGTGTACCAGTACCAAGTCCCCGGCCAAGACCACGAAGACGAAGACTGACGTCTGAGAGTTCAGTGCTGGAGAAGGACAACAGTAGGAACGACAGTGGCATCTGTAGCGGCTGCTGCGGACACATTAGGGACTCACTGAACGAACGAGAGTGGGCCAGTGTGGGAGCTAATCTGAGGAATATCGCTGATGACTTTCATGCATCCAAGACCAAGGTAAGTGCATCAGAAAAAATGTAGAAAACATCATGAAATCATCAATAGCAAAGACGAAGCAAAGTTAACTTTGTTCAATCGCGAATATCTCCTGACGCAACGACGTGATTCGGACGAGTCACATCTCACTTTGAAGCTTAAAAAAGCACGTTGAAAACAAAACAAAAATTAGGAAATTCGCCCTTGCCGTTCTGGAATTATCACCGGTTAAAGACAGTCGGGGGAAAATAAGAGTGAGGTGAAACGGACTGTCTTCAATCGCGAATATCTCCTGACTCAACGATGCGATTCGGATGAATCATATCTCATTTTTAAGCTTAAAAAAATACCTTGGAAATGAAGAAAACAAGGAAAATTCGTCTCTGCCGTTCCCGAGTTATCAGCCACTGAAGTCCGATGAAAATAAAATTAATTAAAATTTTTAATTCACTGAATGGGATCGTTTGGGACATGACTAGGGGAGAGTTCGTGAAATGGAGCTGAATTTCCGTGACATTTCAAATTAGCATCAAGTATAAATAGCCGAGAAAATGATTACCAGAAACCTGTGAAACATTTCAACTCAACTCCCCCTGGGAGTTTTCTCATGCCTAGAAACTCCCAAACTAACTCAACTTTCCTCGGAAACTTTTACCACCCCCTTAACGTACCAAAACTCACCACTTGCGGTGACGGTACCTGGAAAATGTGCGGTCCATTATGCTGTATGGGTTTTCCGTCGGTCTGGGGATACCTACTACTTCGGTGTACATTTCAATTTACCACAAAATGCCTCAACCTCACTCGCCCCTTTCTAACACTTCGGGGGGCGTAGTTTTATGTGTGTGTTTCTGCAAACTTTAGTCGGAAAATTAATTGCCACCGAGTGTCTGGCGAACTCGGATGGATCTAATTTCATCAGAAAGAAATGAGTGGCTGACAAATTTCGATTAAAATTACTGGGAAAAATTTTCTAGGGTTTTTCTCATTTTGTTTGATGAAGAAAGTGGAATTTAAGGACTTAAAATTTTCATTCAGTCTCATTTTTAATCGTTAGACAACATCAGAAAACTACGGAGAAATTGATTAATTCAGTTAATAATTTGAACTATCAATTGAATCGGTAAGAAATCGTTCAGTTTATAATTAATAACAAATTAATTGGTAAATATCATTGAGTTTTATGTGTGTGTTTCTGCAAACTTTAGTCGGAAAATTAATTGCCACCGAGTGTCTGGCGAACTCGGATGGATCGAATTTCATCAGAAAGAAATGAGTGGCTGACAAATTTCGATTAAAATCACTGGGAAAAATTTTCTAGGGTTTTTGTCATTTTGTTTGATGAAGAAAGTGGAATTTGAGAACTTAAAATTCTCATTCAGTCTCATTTTTAATCGTTAGACAACATCAGAAAACTACGGAGAAATTGATTAATTCAGTTAATAATTTGAACTATCAATTGAATCGGTAAGAAATCGTTCAGTTTATAATTAATAACAAATTAATTGGTAAATATCATTGGGTTTTATGTGTTTGTTTCTGGAATCTTTAGTCGGAAAATTAATTGCCACCGAGTGTCTGGCGAACTCGGATGGATCTAATTTCATCAGAAAGAAATGAGTGGCTGACAAATTTCGATTAAAATCACTGGAAAAAATTTTCTAGGGTTTTTTTCATTTTGTTTGATGAAGAAAGTGGAATTTAAGGACTTAAAATTCTCATTCAGTCTCATTTTTAATCGTTAGACAACATCAGAAAACTACGGAGAAATTGATTAATTCAGTTAATAATTTAAACTATCAATTGAATCGGTAAGAAATCGTTCAGTTGATAATTAATAACAAATTAATTGGTAAATATCATTGGGTTTTATGTGTTTGTTTCTGGAACCTTTAGTCGGAAAATTAATTGCCACCGAGTGTCTGGCGAACTCGGATGGATCTAATTTCATCAGAAAGGAATGAGTGGCTGACAAATTTCGATTAAAATCACTGGGAAAAATTTTCGAGGGTTTTTGTCATTTTGTTTGATGAAGAAAGTGGAATTTAAGGACTTAAAATTCTCATTCAGTCTCATTTTTAATCGTTAGACATCATCAGAAAACTACGGAGAAATTGATTAATTCAGTTAATAATTTAAACTATCAATTGAATCGGTAAGAAATCGTTCAGTTGATAATTAATAACAAATTAATTGGTAAATATCATTGGGTTTTATGTGTTTGTTTCTGGAACCTTTAGTCGGAAAATTAATTGCTGCCGAGTGTCTGGCGAACTCGGATGGATCTAATTTCATCAGAAAGAAATGAGTGGCTGACAAATTTCGATTAATATCACTGGAAAATTCTCTAGGGTTTTTTAAATTTCATTATTCAAACTGGCTGAAGTTTGCTCTCAATTTTTTATTTCAAATCAATTATTTTATTTAAATAAACATCAATATTTACTTTCAATCAATTCTTTAATTCAAATATGAACACACTTAAAAAATGAGACAAAGGTGGGGAATTTAGTTTACGATTTGACAATAAATAAATTGATAAATAATATTGTTGTTTTGGAAATAAAATTGAGATTCTTCCCATCATTATTTGGACTCCAATTGAATATTTATGAGTATTCTTCCCCCGGATTCTATCCTCTCGGGTCATTATTATATATCTGTATCGGGAAGGTCGCTGGTATAAATTCAGGGCCATAAACGCGAATTTAGTTATCAGCCGGTTGTCTCTCCCACGGGTACAATAAATATCGAGTCTCTGACCCTGCAAGACGTCTATCGTCTTCCCTCGGCGAGCTGTTCTCATTCTCCCCCTCCATTGATGGGGGGATTACTACGAGAGCCTAGAAATATCAGAATTTCTTTACTCTTAATTCATACGACTATCAAATATTTTATCATCTTGACATTTTTAAGTCTACTAATGAAAAAAAAATCAGTAATGTTTGTTATAAAATTAAATGAGTTAAATTCAAATAATTTAAATATTTTCAATTTCACATTAAAAAAAAATTCAATTTCGTTTTTTCGAAATCTGGAATTGACTTTTTCCTGACGTTAGTAGTTTTAAAGATAAAAGATCCGATTTGTTTCGCATTTTTCCTTCGAAATCATCAAGGATGAATTTTTTTGACACTCAATTATTATTTATTTTTTATTTTGGAGCTATGAAAGACTCACGAAAATTTTAAGTCTCTCATAAAGTCAAACTTTTCTAAAAAATAAAAAATAATTTTCCGAGTCGAAATATGGAATTAATTTCCTATTTTATCTTCAAAAATATTAACAAATGCATTTTGTAGTCATTTCAGTATTAGTCTCTGATTGTTTCAAAACTCTAAAAGACTCAAAATGTCAAAAACTCTTCCCTAAACTCAAATTTTTCCCAAAAACGAAAAAAAACACTTTTGAAAACGGAATATCAAACTTATTTCCTAATTCTCCTTCAAAATCATCATCAACCGAAAATTCAATTACTCAATTATCACTCCTTGATCATTTTGAGTCTCTAAAAACCCCGTAAAAAGCCCTTTACAACCTCAAACTCCCCTGCGAAATAATAACCTTCTCCACCTCAATCGATACCTCTTGCATCATGAACGGCATCAAAGTTTCCTATTGACTTGCAATCGATAGCCCAGTGACACACATATCGAGCAATGTTCCCCGAAGCACTGAAGTGACTCACGATATTCGCAATCCAAGAACAATCACAAAGAATTTGCGATAAAACCTCAAACTATTTTTCCAATCGATCATCTCTCGAGGTAGAAGTTCCTCAGGTGTTCTTCCGGGTAATTCACGGGACGATGCGAAAAATAAATGGCCCAAGTAAATAAATAAACCCGAATATTATGCATGCCGGAGTCAAGTGAGCATGTAACACGATGTAAACTGCCACATCCCCCATGGGCTTTAGCACGTGAAAGTTAAGTGGGCATGTCGTTGAACGCACGAGGCCGTGGCCGCGTGCACTTGCCCGTTATAAATTCCCCGGTACACATTAAATAAGAGGAAAAAGTGACCCCTTAAATTGTTCTACAATTGCTGTACCCATACTTTTACCTTTAAACTCTTGTTCTCTACTGCTCTGGAATTTTTTTTCTGCCACTCCTAGAGGTTTTATCCGCAATTATGTATTTTATGGAATCAATTATCCATTTTTTAAACTCATTTTTATTTTTATGAAGGAGAAAGTGAGAGTTCACAACACCAACATTTTTTTACTAATTCACGAGGAAAATTTGATTTTTATAAAATGTTAGGTATTTTCATTCACTTTTCAATTCAATTTTTTTATTACATTTTTTCGAACATAAAACAAAATCGAGAATATTCTTTCGGTTCTTGTAATATTTTTCACGTTTGTATTTCTGTTTATGAGAAAGGAAGTTGGAATTCATAACACAAACATTTTTTTGTAATAAACAAAGTGAATTCAATTTTTTTTAACTGATTCTATTCGTTTTAATTCACATTTCAATTCATTTTTTCTTTTACTTATTGTTTTTTCGAGCGAAAACAAAATAGAGATTTTTTAAAAATGAAGATGCATAAAATAATTTATGAATAACATTCATTATTTATTTATAATGAAGGGATATCTGAAATGAATAAGTTTTTAGTAAAATCCTGGTATAAAAAATATGTTTTTTCTTTGAAAAAAAGCTATAATTCTTCCCAAACCCTATGAAGGTGTATAAATAATAGAATACACATAGAAAAATACAGGGATTTCTATAGCATTGGGGTATTAATCGAAGCGTGTGTTATATTGCGTTTCGTTCCCCATAATTCTCCTATAATGTGACGTTGTTTTTTCCTCCACCCTCGTCTCCTCCTTTTTTCGCACGCCCGATAATCTTCTTTCGTCGTTCATACACCCGGGAGGACCGAATGAATGTTTGTACGAGTCCAGGGGGGGATGGGTTGTCGTCAGACATGAGGGGTGAGAAAATACGCAACAACGAGGAGAAGAAATGAGTGTAGTCTCCATTTCGACTCTCGAGATTATTGCTCACACCCATAAAGGCGTCTCCCAGATTGGACTTTCTCTCCGGTGTTTATTATTACTCGGAGTGCGGATTAAGATGGGAAAATCGCGAGTAAGAGGCACTGTTCGAGAGGATGTACATTTTTGTCCCTCGTGGACGAGACAAAGAATGGACCACGCAATTAATTGACCGAGAGGGAGGGTGGGAGGAGAGTGATCCTTTATTCGTGCTCGCAGGACCGTGGACAAATTGGTGGATGAATTCTTTTATTTTCGCGGAGGTGGTTATGGCTCAACGATTTCAGTAATTATGGGACTCGGTTTAACAATAGAACATTATTTGATTCGTTTTGAGGGGGGATTAACCGGGGGTTGGAAGGATATGTCAGCAGTAAATTTTACCCATTTTTGTGAATCTTCAATTATGTCGAGGTTGTTAGCACGGGGAAGGTGTATTGACGATATTTTCTCCTCTAAAGAAAACACTCAAGAAAACATACCGTCGCGCTGAACAATGCCTCCAAGAAATCATGTAAAAATCCGAGAATTAAAGTAAAAAATATCATTACAAAATACAAAACAACTTCTACTTTCTCCATATCATCTCTTATAAACTCAGCTGAATGCGTAATATGGTACGTNCGTCTCCTCCTTTTTTCGCACGCCCGATAATCTTCTTTCGTCGTTCATACACCCGGGAGGACCGAATGAATGTTTGTACGAGTCCAGGGGGGGATGGGTTGTCGTCAGACATGAGGGGTGAGAAAATACGCAACAACGAGGAGAAGAAATGAGTGTAGTCTCCATTTCGACTCTCGAGATTATTGCTCACACCCATAAAGGCGTCTCCCAGATTGGACTTTCTCTCCGGTGTTTATTATTACTCGGAGTGCGGATTAAGATGGGAAAATCGCGAGTAAGAGGCACTGTTCGAGAGGATGTACATTTTTGTCCCTCGTGGACGAGACAAAGAATGGACCACGCAATTAATTGACCGAGAGGGAGGGTGGGAGGAGAGTGATCCTTTATTCGTGCTCGCAGGACCGTGGACAAATTGGTGGATGAATTCTTTTATTTTCGCGGAGGTGGTTATGGCTCAACGATTTCAGTAATTATGGGACTCGGTTTAACAATAGAACATTATTTGATTCGTTTTGAGGGGGGATTAACCGGGGGTTGGAAGGATATGTCAGCAGTAAATTTTACCCATTTTTGTGAATCTTCAATTATGTCGAGGTTGTTAGCACGGGGAAGGTGTATTGACGATATTTTCTCCTCTAAAGAAAACACTCAAGAAAACATACCGTCGCGCTGAACAATGCCTCCAAGAAATCATGTAAAAATCCGAGAATTAAAGTAAAAAATATCATTACAAAATACAAAACAACTTCTACTTTCTCCATATCATCTCTTATAAACTCAGCTGAATGCGTAATATGGTACGTTGGTTAAAAAAAAAGTTTATTCATTGTTTAAAAGAAAAACCTTTTATCATTTATTTCTCAAATATTTCTTACGGAGGGGGACTTTAATCTCAGGGAGGACGACCGGGATTACAATATTCATATTGTTATTTTTGTTTCACTATAATTAGATATTTATTATTAATTACGAGATCACAGTGACGCTTTGACGCGCGGGGATCTGGAGCGAGCGGGCTGTATCAATTATTTTGAATACTTCTGCATGAAAAATAAAACGAATTCATATTTTTGCGAGTTTTCTTCATTTCTTTTTTTCAAAAAAACATTTTACACAGCCTGCTCCCCACGATCCGCATAGTCACAGTTACAGCTTATGTCCCACCTTCTCCACCTTGACGCTCTTATTAATTTTCTCTTTATTTAAATAATTCATTTTATACTCATCAGCGAGCCAATTTCGTGCTTTCCCACAACAACGAAAAAACATCCGCCCTTCGGCCTATTCACACATAATTACTTTCTCATTACCGACAAAATCTCATTGTTTTGTCCCTCCAATTCACGAAAAAATTATCGTTAATTATTCAATATTCATCTCATGCGCAAAACAATCCAGCATATGATCAAATATACCGTTTTGCGTTAAAATACACACGATGTATACATATATTTATTTTATGCGTATGTATAACATATGGGTCTTTTTTGCTTCCAATATATATATTCTTTTATCATGTTTCATCTGGTTTTATAATCATTAGTATTACGCTTCCAAATATGGCTGACTAACCCCTAAAAATGCTTCTACGAGAGTTTATTTCTGGCTAGAGTTACAAAGTAGCGGAAATTATAAGAAACAAATATGGGGGAAAAATAGTCCGGAAAATTCAGCTATAAAATCCCTACTCTTCGTTTCTTCCATAAAAAAGCTATTTACATGCGTCTTTAAAATCTTCTCATGATGATCAAGAATTTGCCCATCTTTTTCACAATAAAAAAAATTTCAAATTAATATTTTGTATTTCGAAATTAATTCTTTTGTTCATAAGTAATTAATACACAATAAATTGTCCATCTTACAAACGATTGTTATTTTCAATTCGTAATAAAAGCAGCCGAAAACATTTACAAATGTAGAAATACCGTTTAAAAAACTGATTTCATCAATTTAAAAAACGTTTAAAATAATTCGTAAACAATTTCAATTGTTTATTTATTGGTGAATTTTCTTTCATGCATTAAAGATCCAACAGCCATGGCCAATTATAGAGTCAAATCATTATACAATACTGATAAACAAATTTACACACATATAGAACGAAAATATGAGATTGCGGATTGTATGCTTGACGAAAACCATTTGCTCCTTCAGATTTAACAAGTTATTGCGCCTCATCACATCTTTATCTCAATTTATAATCAACACTCATTGATAAATCATCAATAATAATGCGTTTTATTGAATTTATGTTGCAGGACGCTGAGATTGAAAAATCGAGACTGCCATGTATCGGTACGAGTTTTCCCCCCGTGCCAGCCTCAACGACGTCCTCATCACCGGACAGTCTGCTGTCCCTCCTGATCCCAGCGCCACTCCGCGAGACCCTGTGGACGACAGTGGCGTTGTACCTAGGCTGGCGGCTGGTGTCACGTCTCCGATAGAGACGAGTCAGACGCCCAAGTAGGCGACGCTGATGGCCCGACTGAACCATCCAAGTGAGGTAGTTGACCGATTATATCGAAAAATCAGGGGGAGAAAGGGGTTACGTCGAGGAGTCGTCTCGCGTTTGCACTTCTTAATATCGAAATAAAAAATAAATAAAAAATACCAACTCGAGACTGCGCACTCGTTCCCAAGAGCGATCGAGATAAGCCGCGGAGCCACGAGGAGAGAACAATTTACGACACACGAGGAGAAAAAAAATATTTAAGATTAACTGAAGAATGGAGAGAGGGCGGAGGGAGCTAAGGACGAGATCCAAAGAGGACTTAACCGAATAATCAAACGATGATCTCATTACGAATAAATAAGGGAGAGGAGTCTATAAAGTAGTGTGATTTTGTTTTCTAATTAAATAGGGGAAAGTAAATTTTTTTTTGTGATTCTTCGATTAAAGATTGTGGAGTTTTCATGATTGCTCGATGCCAATACAGAGTTCACTTCATCATAAAGAAAATTAAGTATTGAGTTCTGTAAATACACGAGCAGGAGTCTGTAAATACGAGAGTTATTAAGTCGATTGTATTCCAAAAATTGAGAAATGAAAAACGAAAAAAAAATGAGAAAAAAAATTGTGAGGAGATTATGGAGGGAATAAGTGGAGGATTTTGAGGGGTTCGAGAATGTGTATAGCTAAAAGTTAGAGGGAAAAAAACAACAGAAAAATGAAACCCACGAAACAGTGAAAAATGATACTAAAGTAATGAATCAGTAATAAGTCGAATTTAAATAATTAAAGTAGATAATTTGATATAGAATTCGAGGATCGCAGCAATGAATTGGCTCGCTGCGATGCCCGTGGACAGTTTTCAAATGATCTCCGGTAGCTTAGCTCTTATTGTGGCGCCCTCGTCCACGTGCGGGACGCCCTCGTAGTTGTCTTTGTCAGAGGCGTTCCCCCCCTTCTTTTATTCTTTTCTCTTTCTCTTCCTCTGCTCTATTCAGTTTCTTTCGCCATTCCCCCCCCCTCTCTCTCTTTCTGTTCTCTCTCTCTCTCTCTCTCTCTCTCTCTCTCTCTCTCTCTGTTTTCTCTATTGCTGATTATTACGTTCCAATTAATTTATAATTGAAAATAGAAGATATAAAGACAAATCATTGAGAAGAGTGACTAATATTCACTCGATTATCCGACATTTTTTTTTATTATGAGAATAAAGTAATATAATTATTTTCGATTTTTAAGTTTTAAGATTGGTTTTTTTCTCTCTTCTCAACTGTGATTTCGCGTCCCAACTTCTCATGCCCTTGATTATTATTATTATTTTTCTATCGTGGATTCTCGTTGAAGCCAGACCAAAACTGCATTACCGCGTCACAATCGTGTCGCCTTCTCTCTTTTTTTTATACCTTTTTTTTATATCCATATGCATTTATTTTTTGTTCGTTTTTTTTATATTGAATATAAGTATCTTAACTGTAACGAATATTTCCAGTATGTAAAGAGAACAATAGTATTTATTTAGACGAAACCGCGATTCTCTTCGGTAAAGAAGTGTTTTTCCAATCTCGGTTATTTTGTAGAAGTTTTTTTTACTCGTAAACTGCCATTTGTTCCACCGAATTTTGAGAATTTTTTCGTTTATTGTGGATGCCATGGATTTTTTAACGCATTTTATTGTCATTTGAAATTGAGTATTTAGGAAATTTCCCATGATCTCGACTCTGGAATACAGAGAATTTTATTGACGTGCAACTGCAATAGTTTGACGCTGAATACAACGATTTTTAAAATTTTTTCTCGAGATTCGAGAGATGGTTTTTGATGCCAAACGAAAGTATAAACGTAGGGCCTCAATTTTAGAAGGGATGATGGGGAATCTGCGTCTTCTTTCTACATTTGTAAATTTTCTCGGTGTATTTACTACGAATTGAAAATAACAATCGTTTGTAAGATAGACAATTTATTATGTATTAATTATTTATGAACAAAGGAATTAATTTCGATACGGAAAACGTTAATTTGAATTTTTTTTTATTGGGAAAAAGATGGGCAGATTCCTTATTGTCCTGAGAAGATTTTAAAGACGCATGTAAATAGCTTTTTTATGGAAGAAACGAAGAATAGTGATTTTATAGCTGAATTTTCCGGACTATTTTTTCCCCATGTTTGTTTGTTATAATTTCCGCTACATTGTAACTCTAGCCAGAAACAAACCCTCGTAGAAGCATTTTTAGTGGTTAGTCAGCCATATTTGGAAACGTAATACTAATGATTATAGAACCAGATGAAACATGATAAAAAACTATACATATTGGAAGCAAAAAAGACCCATATATTATACATACGCATAAAATAAATATATGTATACATCGTGTATATTTTAACGCAAAACGGTATATTTGATCATATGCTGGATTGTTTTGCGCATGAGATGAATATTGAATAATTAACGATAATTTTTTTGTGAATTGGAGGGACAAAACAATGAGATTTTGTCGGTGATGAGAAAGTAATTATTTGTGAGCAGGCCGAAGGGCGGATGTTTTTTCGTTGTTTTGAGAAAGCACGAAATTGGCTCGCTGATGAGTATAAAATGAATTATTTAAATAAAGAGAAAATTAATAAGAGCGTCAAGGTGGAGAAGGTGGGACATAAGCTGTAACTGTGACTATGCGGATCGTGGGGAGCAGGCTGTGTAAAATGTTTTTTTGAAAAAAAGAAATGAAGAAAACTCGCAAAAATATGAATTCGTTTTATTTTTCATGCAGAAGTATTCAAAATAATTGATACAGCCCGCTCGCTCCAGATCCCCGCGCGTCAAAGCGTCACTGTGATCTCGTAATTAATAATAAATATCTAATTATAGTGAAACAAAAATAACCATATGAATATTGTAATCCCGGTCCTCCTCCCTGAGATTAAAGTCCCCCTCCGTAAGAAATATTTGAGAAATAAATGATAAAAGGTTTTTCTTTTAAACAATGAATAAACTTTTTTTTTAACCAGAAAACGTACCATATTACGCATTTAACTGAGTTTATTGGAGATGATATGAAGAGAGTAGAAGTTAGTTTGTATTTTGTAATGATATTTTTTATTTTAATGCTCGGATTTTCACATGATCTCTTGGAGGCATTGTTCAGCGCGGCGGCATGTTTTCTTTATTATTTTCTTTAGATGAGAAAATATTATGGATACGCCTCTCCCGTGCCAACAACCTCAACATAATTAATTAAATAAATAATTGAAAACGAAGAAAAACATATTTGTCGATATTGCGTTATGTATAAAGTAATTAGTTTATTATTATTACATTATTATCCATGAATTATTTCTATTATTGTCACTACCAATTTATTATAATGATGAATCATCTACATTTGCGATTACTATCGTACTCTGTCGCCTATGAATTAAGGTTCAGGTTAAACTCCGTCACTAAAGAGGTAATTCGACTAGTCTTTACCGGACAAAGCATTGAGATTTTTTTTTCTTTAACGAATGGATATTTTTCGAAGGAAAACGAGGTTGACTATGTTTTCTTTTAATATTGAATTTTTCTCGAACTATTTCGCCTCGAATGATCCTCGATCTGACGATGGATTTTCCTCGATTATTTGAAAAAATTTTGTGAAAATGTGAACTTTCCATCGCCGAGATCGACGTCTCGATGTTGATTTTTTGTAAGATTATTTTTTTCTACCAGTAATAAATTATTGTAATATGCCATATGACATCTTATTCGTCAATGTATTCTTCGGGCCTTTCCTCGCACACTCCATAACCCTCAACATCCTCATCATCACTATTATCATGAGTACGAGGGTTATTTTTTTCGTGAAGTTTGGACGACTGGAGGTGAGGAAATGCTCTAAAAAATCGTCTAGATTTTTTTTTCATTTTCGAAATTTAATGCAGAACAATTAGCTCAGCTCTGATGGTGCCAATAATACCAGAACATTCTCATGAACTTGATCTCCTTTCGGTTGCCAAAACCAATTAATTTAAATGATTATCCACGAGGGCACTATTCAAGCGAATAGAGAATATTCACTTTTCGATGGGTGAAATACTCTCGTGCAACTACGAGTGAATATTCTCGTTGTTTGCATATTCCTCAATAGTATTTACTGCCATTTATCATAATCACCCCCGAATTCTCATGACTTCTCTGATAAATTCGTCGATAACTCCGGTAAAATTGATCTGACTAGGGGAATGAAATTTTTTCAAGCGTTACCTGTAACCAAATGTCTCGTGGACCATAAGATCGCTGTGATTTTCGGGAGGAATGAGACGAGAATACGAAATTCCAATCACAAAGACAAAAGTGTCAGCACTGATGCAAAATGATGTGATAAAACTTCAAAACTATTAAATTATTATTCCTCTTCGATTGAAAAATCTGGAAAGTGCATTATCATTTCCCTGCAATGCTCCTCACTTTGCCTTGTGATAGAGCCTGGACTGCCCGTACCAATAACAATATTCCTCACGACATTCAATTAAAAAATTTTTAATAAAATCGAAGAATGATGTTTAGAGAGTATTGAATATTTATCGAATTAGGAGAATTTGTCCAGCTGACCAATCCAAAGAATTGACCAAATAAATACGGAGAATGATAACTGGGGGATGTGGCAGGTGAAATGGATAATAAACACAAAACTTTCCTAGAATTTCAATCTTAACTAAATTTCTCTCTTCCTGGAAACCATTATTCTCCTCTCAAACACAATTGAAAAGCCCTGAAAATAATGGCGATCACGTGATATATTGTGACAGTCCGAGGAGAGATACAGAAAAATTATCGTCCAAAGCAACTCTTCAACTCTCCTTCGATCGACCAAGCTCAAAATCATTTTAATTAATAAAAAAGGTTGACTAAAATTCATGAATTCGACTTTTTGTATAGCACGGAGTTATAAACGTTTTCTCAAACTCAATCCATCGTTGAAGGAAATCGCACAATTCGATGTTAATGATCTTCAATTATCAGAATGCTCAAAAATTGGTGATTTCGAATGATTGATTAGAA